TCTTCATTACTCACTGAGACTATTAGCCATGATCGCTAACTTGCATTGCTGGCTGATTATAATGACAAGTCACTCTGCGCCTTGATCAGTTAACAATGCAAAACATTGTGATTCTTGAAGAAGACTGTTTCGACGAAAACAAGTTTTCGGAAACAGTCCTGTTAACTTATTTTTGATCTCGTTTTTAAATTTATCGACTTTTAGTTGTTTTCAGTAGGCTATTGGACCTGAATTAGGTCCTAAAAGTTAATTTTGTCTCGAAATGATTAGAAGCAATAGAAAAAAAAAACATTTTTTTTTATTTGATAAAAATAGTTGAAATAGAAACGTGAAAAATCTCTTTTTTTCAAAAGTCATCAAAAATAGTTCCAATTGAATTGAATCACTAGGCTACAATGTATGAACCTGTTCAGAATGGTTTTCAAGACCAAAGCCGTAAAATTTCCATATTTGGAGAAAAGTAAAAAAAAACACGTTTTTGGTTAACTCATAAAGGTAGATAAATCGGGTAAAGTCGTCTTTAAACATAAAGGATCAAAAAATGAATTAATTAGGGCATACATGTAGTGTCCTCGTAAGGCCGCTTGCAAAAAATTACAACAATTGTGGTAGCCACTTCCGAAAACAAGTCTTTTTTTCGAAATTTAGCCAGTTTTATTTGTAGTAAAGTAGTAAAAAGCTACCCGAGAAAAAAAAGTTGTAAAAACCAAAATTTTCATCCAATTTTGACAATTAAATACTCTAAACCTACTAAAATGACTATGGCAAGCTCGAATATGCTATCAAAACTCATTTTTTCTCACTTTTTAAAATTTTTGTTTTTTTGATATAAAATGTTGAGTCAGAAACATGAAAAACCAATTTTTCTCAAAAAGTCAAAAAAAGTTGTTCCAATCAAATTGTTTCAATAGGCCACGCTTTGTGGACTTGTTTAGAAGTGTTAGCATGATCAAAGCCATAAAATTTTCATATTTAGAGAAAAGACGAAAAAAACACCTTTTTGGTTAATTTTTCCAAAAAAATGACCAAAAAATTAGGAGACGGTCCTGAAAAAAAAAAAATTTTAAAAATAAAGTAAACCTAATTTTTACATAGTTAGGCTCCCTTAACAGTCTTCTTTCATCCCTTACGAAACAATCTATCCCATTTTTTGGACCCAAATTGAGTTATTGAGTCATTTTAACCAAAAATCGTGTTTCGTTTTTCCGTTTTTGCCCCCCATTTCCCGCCATAAGTCAACATATAGAGTTTTTCTGGCCAAACGGCGTCCAATCGTATCCTTAGAATTGCATTTTGTAGCCGCATGCCAATTTTAAAGAAATTCTGACGAAACGTTTTGGAGATCAGCCCCGATTCCGCCGACAGGGGTATAAGGTTATAAGAAACGAGAACCGGCAGGGACCCTACCCTTGCCTCGCCGTATCTCTGACGCCGAAGCGCGACGACCACCCAGTTTTCTCAAACTGGGTTGATGTAATCAAAAAAGCACCAGTAATAAATTTTGATTGAAATTCAAAGTGGTTTAAGGGGATTTATTTTTTAAGAGCCGATGGACATAGTTCAGAATATAATCTAGGTCGCTCAGAATATAATCTAGGTCGCTCAAGACAAGTCGTAAAATTTGTTCAGGCAGTTTGAGTTATGGTTAATTTTTAAGTTCAGTTCATTTTCTTTATTCAAAGGAAGGCAAACTACACTATCGAACAGCAAAAGTTTTGAGGTGACGAAAAAAGTGATCGACTTCTAGTTTCTAAAGTGAAATTTAATTAACGAGTTTAATTTCCAAGCGAAATAAAATATTTGCCTATTGATCCAATTTTCTCAAATTGGGTTAGTTTTATCAAAGAAGTGTCATATATAAGTTATTCTAGGTATTCAGAGAACTTTAAAGACATCTATTTTTAAAAGTCGATGAATGTACTTCAGACTCCTTCATAGGTCGCGATGATTTTTTCAGGCTCAAATTCACTTCTCATTTCTTTTTAAGTTCATTTTCTTTGTTCCAACGGAGTCAAACTTCAGCATTGAACAGCAAAAGAGTAAAGGTCACGAAAAATAACTTCTTGTTTCAAGACGGGACTTGAATCTTCTGATATCCCACGGAATGAAAAATTACTTATTGATCCAGTTTTCTCTAAGTGGGATAACTTTTAGCATGTCTCCTTTTTGAACAACCGTTGTATGCAGGATAGTTTTGTTTGCTGTCAATTTAACAACTCCGATCTCAGTTTTAACAATCGATGAACGTAGTTCAGACTCTTATATAGGTTGTGATGATTTTCTTTTTTAGAAAAAAAAAATCAAACTTGGTCAGGCTCTAATTTACTTTTTTGCGGTTTAACTTAGATTTGTTTTTTAAATTCAGATTAATTGTTTTGTTTCCAGGAAGGCAAACTCGACTATCAAACAGCAAAAGTAGGAAAGGCCACGAAGAACGTGATCGATTTCTTATTTCGAAAATGGAATATATTTATCAGATTTCCCAGCGGAAAAAAATTACCTGTCGATCCAGGTGTCTCAAATTGGGCAAATTTTATCATAAAATGGTCAAATCATACATTTTTCTCGAAATTCAAAGAGCTTTTAAGGCCATGTATTTTGTTTCTTGTACATTTGAAAATTGAGATTTTTCAAAAAACAAGTTTTTTTTGTTTAGTCGCGTTCATGGACTCATTTCCAACTGCCTGTTGGCTATGTTTACGCTTGCGATTAGCAAGAGTTATTAAATCGGAATAGAGACTTTTTTGCGTGTTAACAACTAGTTAAACAAAATCAGTTAAATCAAATTTGGTTTTTCATGAATTAGAGCATGTCAGCTGCATGGTAGTTTCAAGGGACTTTATAAAAAATTATTATTATTTTTTGCAAAATCAGCCATTTTGGCTCAATTGGTGTCTGCTCAAAGATTGTCGACCTTGTTTCTGCTGTAGGAAGTTTTGTTCAGTTATTAGCTTGAAGTTCAAATGTCCTGCTCGGAATGTTTGCCTAGATTTCCTGCTTGATAAAAACAAGTATAATGAAAGTGTGTGGGATTGGGTGTTTTTTGACACGCTTTGGAAAATTTAATCAGTTTTTGCGAAAAAGTAGTTTTTTTTTGTCAAACACCCTTGTACCGATTTTCAATACAGAATATTCAATAAAAAAACTGCCTACAATATTGTGTGCTTGCATACTACCCTTGCTTTACTTTTGTCTACAGCCTTCAAATATGTCGGGGGGGGGGCGAGGAATAATTGACCGATGTGTTTGATTTTTTTTTTCGTTTTCTTTGAAACTAACCAACCAAATCTGAGAAATTGGCTTCAATGAAAAGAAAAGATTTGATAAGCTCCCCTCTATGAGCGGCTACGCCCAAACTTTTTTAAGACATAAAATTATGGCCCTCGGAAAAGTCAAACTTTGATTTTTTTTACTGTATCGTGACTCTTTTTTAATGTTTCTTGCCACTCCTTAATTTTTTTGTAAGAGAAAAGTTGTCTTTAGGAAAATTCCAAAATTTGCACTTTTTTCACTTACTTTTTTAAATAGAAATAACTGAAGGTTTTTTTCAACATTTATAATTTTTCTTCAAGTTATGCTTTCTTATGATTGTGTTGTATCGCAAGTGGTGCGGAAGCTCCGCTTCGCCTGTGTATTTTATGTTGTTTTTTTCTCTTTCTTCTATTTATTCGGCTTTAAAGGTTTCGGCTTAGTCGCTTTGCATCAAGTCGTTTGATGGACAAAAAAATTTTTTTATCTAAACGCTGCGAGGGGGGCTTAAACTCTTAAACTTGAAATTATTTTCAAGTTTCTTAAAGTTGACATTACTTTCAAGTTTTTTTCATGATTTTTGTGTTCCCTTGAAAGTTTTTGGCTTTTGCAGTTTTTACACTTGCGAAGCTAGTGTATTAGTAGGAACCTTCTTTTTTCTAACTGAAGTCGCAAATATTGGTACAGTTTTTTGATAGCATGTGCTTTGACATTCGAATAATAATAAATTAACACAGTTGATGCATTTTTAATTCATCCAATGAACCGAAAAAAGCTATTTGTTTCAAACATCATAGTAATAAAAACTTGATTTCAGAAATTTTCTAACTCTCGCAATTTTTCGAAATGCATAATTTATACATAATGTGGCCTTATGCTTTGGAATTGTTACATGCAAAGTTAGTGTGGATGCCTTCAGTTTGTTAGATTCCAAGTTATTAATTGCAAAATTGTATATAGTGCTGAATCGCATTGGCAATTTGTTAGCATAAGCAGCTGCTTTATTCGTGACTAGTGTGTGTCGGTTGTTAAGCTTGAGTGGCTGAATGTATAGTGCGTGAGACTCAAAATCTCTTGATTGCAGTAGGTCGCAGATTCGAATCCTACACGTAGCCAAATTTTTGTTAATTCGATGCTTATTTCATCTTTTTATCTTACTTCACTTGATAGAGCTGCATTTTGGTCGTCTTCTCGCAAGTGTTTACGAAGCGCCGCCTCGCGTCTGTGATCAAGTTTTGTTTTGATGGTAATTTAAATTAAATTCATTATAAGAAATACAGTCCAAGTGAGACAATTGAATGTTAAGACAAAATAAACGTCTCAGTTTCATCTAGTCTCATTTTCTGTCGGGTAGTTTGTCATGCTATGTTTATGTTGTTTTGCAAGTGATACGAGGTTCTCCTTCGCCTCTTTGTAAACAGTTAATCAAATAAAGTTCTTGAAATTCAAAGAGCTTTAAGGTTGTATGTTTTTATTGTTTCTGAATAGCCTTCTACGGTCGTAACTTTCTGTATTAATTAATATCCCTCATCCAAATGCGAAATGTATGTTATTTTTTTTTGGAAGAACGCGTTTTTTAACAGGTTTTAAAAAAAAAATTAAGGCAATATTTTAGAAAAATGATCAAAATAATGATGGTAGATAATAGCTAGAACTCTATGCTTCAAAGCGCTTCAGCATTCTCCAATGGCGCTTTTCAACTAAGCACTTCTGGAGGCTGTTTTGACTAATCCGATTTTTTTTCTGTTCAGATCATATCTGCGGAATCGCAACAGGAATTGCTGCTAAACCAGAAGTATCAGAACTTGCCGAAGAAACATCCAAATCTGCTTTTAAACCGAAGAGTGAGTTCAACCTGTTCGGTTCTCTTAAATAAATTTACTCGCCTCCGACCGAAACCCTCGATAAATTTATATATTTTTCGTTCAGCTGACAGAATTTGGCGCGGAGCCTCTGAAATGTTTCATATTTTTCTACTTGGACTTGGTAGCTTATTTCGTTTTATTTATTAAGCAAAATAAACCTCTTCTATCTATTTATTATGCGTAGTATTTTTTACTGAGACCCAAAACGAGAAAAAATTGTTGCTGTTTTACTTTTGATTAATGCAGTTTACATGTGAAGAGATAGCACTTTGTTTAGACCACCAAATCTTATTTCGATTCTGGCGATTACTACAGAGCCAAACAGACGCCAATGTCCACTAGCACAGCTGCAGTGCAGCAGCAGCAGAACAGCCAACAGAGTCAGTATTCCCCTTCTAATCAAAACCAGCAGCAGAAACAAGACCAAAACAGTCCTCCTCACCCAGTCATTAATCCAAATAACAACAACACCACTAACCCGACAGGTCAGTGAACAACATCGAAGTGGATAGTGCACCTGCTTGTCAATCCGAAGGTTGATGGTTCGAGCCCTGCTTAGTGATTTATTTTCGTTGGTGACTCAAAAGAATGCGTAGAAAAAGCTTTATTACATTTACCCAAATTTGGTTACCCAAATTTTGCATAGCATTTTTTGAATTTGAACAAGCGCTTGCTTGAGTTGAAGTATTTGATCAATTGTCTAAAAATGTTTTTTTGTTGTTTAAGATGCAGTCATAAACCCCCCTCCTCCAGCAATTTACCTGTCCAGTGGAGAGGTAGTCGCCGGGGCACAGGGGCTATCGGTAGTCGGGGGTGTCCCCGTTCTTATCGATGTTCCCGCGACGCCCGCAACAGTCGAGCTGACGAGGAAATCGTCCGAAAGACGACAGAGTAAACTAATACTTGAGTCATCCACCAACTGAAGGAAAATTTTGAGGAAAAAACGAGAGAAGAACGAAAGAGAGTTTTGAACATTTTAATAATAACGATTGAATAAAACTTTTTGATCCAAATAGGTGAAAATTTGAGTACAACAAAAACTAAACAATGCGTACGGAACTGGTTATGTAAAATATTAGCTAAATTAATGATGTAGCTGTTTTGGATAATTTGAAAACAAGACCATGAGCGCAGTTAACCATCTAGTTTAATTTGTTAGGCAGAATATCTCGATTTAAATCATCATAAATAAAAGAGCAGTTAATTTATCTAATTTTTGAGCCAAATCGTGCGTAAATTCTTAAGATGAAAAAAATCAAACAGCTTAAAATAAAGACACTAATTTGAAGAATTTAGTGCTTACCAACAGGGGCGGATCTAGGATTTTCTCGAGGGGGGGGCGGATTTTCAAAAAATTTTCGAAAATTTTGACGACCTTTTTTTTTTTTTTAGGTCGATGAGATTGATTTTCCGAGCTTTCCCAAAGCAGTAAAAAGACCCTGTTGTGGTCAAATTTTCTGCGCCGCAGGCAATTTTTTGAAAAAACAGGTCAAAAAAGCCGTTTTTGGGCACTTTTTGGAAAATGTTGACAAAAAAACGCGTTTTTTTGGCGCGCGCTCCCCCTCAAAATTAGTATATATTGGCGCCAAAGGCGCCTTTAGAAAAATTTTAGGGTCGGTTGGCCAAAAATGGATTTCTTAAAAAGTATCAAAGGGGGGACCCTTTGGGTTGGCAGGGGTTCGAATCCCTGAGGGGGGGGCGTCCGCCCCCCCCCCCCCCCCCTAAATCCGCCCCTGCTTACCAATGACATTCTAATGGCGCTAAATTTTATCATTTTGATGCGATATTACAATTTGAATTTCATGATGCCCTAAATCCTGAAACTTTTTGTCATCCCTGCGTTTTAAAGACATTTTTTCTAGACAAATTGATATCATTAACTGGAAAATTTGAGTATATTTGTTGTGACGTTAAAAATTTCAAAAATGACGAGAGTTGTGAATCTTGTAATACTTCCTCTGCAAAAGTCGTGCTAATTTAACTAATTTAGAGTTTACTTTTTCTTTTCCATGTCATTACGAGCTTTCTTAGAAGTATCAAATATTGCGCAAAAACAGCATTTCTTCGCATTAATTCTTTCGCTGTGTTTGGAGAGAAGTCGTTACAACTAATCAATGTTTTTTTTGCTTTTAAATGAGAAATACTTGGAATGAGTTTAGTCAAGTAACTTCAAAGTCCAATCTCTGATCAAACGTATGTTTTTTTGGTTATTTGTTCATTTTTTTCTTACATTGGCATCAGTTGTTGGTTGATTAAAAAGCATTGGAAATGAGATGAATGTGTTATCGTTAAAGTTCCTTTAGATAAATGTGGACTTCCAAAAGTCTAAAAACCTGATAAAATTTTCAATCTTTAAAAATTATGAGGTTATTAGTGTTCTTCAGCTGAATTTATTATAAGTGAATTACTGCTGGACGACTATTTACTCTAGCAAGCTTGCGAGCGTTAGTGTATGTATAAGAACCTTTTTTCTAATCTAACTAGCAATTAAAAGAGTTCATTATTTGATAGCACTTTTGATATAAAAACGATCTGTTCCATTGGAAATTGCATAGCATCTGTGCTTTGCTTTATTGCAGGCTAGTGTTTGTGGTTAATTAAGCTTCTGTGGCTGAGTGCTTAGTGTGTGAGACATTCCCGCCGTATGTCGCAGATAGAATCCGAGACGTATTCGAATTTCTACTAATTCAATATTTATTTCTACTTTTTCTCATTGCACTTTATAGAGCTGATTTTTGTCGTGCTCTCGCCAGTGTTTGCGAAGCAAAGCTTCGATGCTGTATTAAACATTTTTCCTTAATTTTTTCATAATTTTCTATTTTAATCATGATTTAGTTTTCATTTAGTTTGCTGTGAAATATTTCAACAGTTCAAAATGGATAAATAGAGTGGAAACTGCAAAGAAAGATCAGAATGTTAATCGCACCTAACGTGTTAACTAAAGTTTTGAAATATTTACGCGCGTTCGAAAAAACATTTTGTCTACATGCGAAGAAAATCAAAGCGCGTAAATATTTTCAGTGTTTTTTTTTACAGATGAACGGATTTAGCAGAAGTCGAAGCACATTTCAACTAAATTTTATAATTCTTGAATAATTCTACAACTCTTATAGTTTTTGTTAAAATGCCTACTGGTTATAATTGATTTTCAATTTTCTGATCTCAATTTTGTTTTTCTCAAGCGATCGATTTGTCTAAGAGAATCACAGAATATTTTTCTCAACTGTAAGATCTGTCGAAGATTTAAAATAGTGATGTTTGAGTATATCTGCATTTGGAAATTTTCCTGTTGGTTTTTTTTAACAACTCAGTTTTATAGAATTTTTTAATATATATATTTTTAAGAGTGGATGAACGTAGCTCAGACTCTTGAACAGGTCGTGATGATTTTTTCTCTTTTCTAAGGAAAAGTCTAAAGTTTGTGTAGTCTCAAATTTTTTTTCGCGGCTTCACTTTTGTTTTTTCAAGTCGAGTTCCTTTCTTTTGATAGAAGGAAGATAAAACTTTTAGTAAAACTCCGTAAACAGCAGAAGGTTAAAGAGTACCAAAAACGTGATTGACTTCTCAGTTCGAAAAGGGAACTTTTTTTTTAAGTCTTTCTATGGATAACTACATCTGATCATCTGTTTTTGAATTTAGTTTCTCTGAACTTTGTCTTGCACTAGCATAATTGAAATCGTTGCAATCAATGAAAAAATTGGAATTTTTTAACATTCCGTCAAGGGAATCTAAATTCAAAAAATGATGAAAGAAAAAGCGTTGTTATGTTATTTCTCATGTTTTGTATTTTAATTAGCAAAGCTACAAATGATCCGAATTCCTCTCTAACGTCTCGTGCTGACAAACTAGACTTTACCAGAAGACCTTAAACTTCAGCTTCGGGCCATTTGAAAAATGTTGACCGTAATTCGGCCCTGATTCGAGTAGCCTTGCAGATAGTTTACAGTTGAGCATAAACGCTCCTGGTTCCTGTTAAAATTATTTTTTTTAAAGTTCGTTTCGTTAAGTTTTTCTTCTGAACATTCGAATAATAAATGTTTTAATATGCACTCAAGTAAATTTTGTTCCGACCATTTGAAAGTTATTGTTTTTCCTAATTTTGGTTTGGTAATTTTTTGTTTTGACCATTTGAAACACGTATTTTTGCTGAAGTTTAAAGTCGTCTGGTAAAGCCTTGTTCATAGGGACGAGACTTTAGAATTTAGTCATAACATTTATTTTTGCCCTGATTCAAGCAGCCTTGGATTGAAAATAGTTTATGTTTGAGCTTATCTGAGCTGAAGTTTAAAGTATTCTGGTACATGATAAAAGTATTTTTTCAATACAGTTAACTGAGTTTTTGTTCCGACCATTTGAAAAAAGTTGAGTTGATTTAAGTTGATTTGACAAAAAACAGTGCTGATTTAAGTTAACCGGACAAAACGATAAATTTTGAAATTTCGAACGCGTTTTTCTCAAATTGGGTTAAGATTAGACAAAAGTGAAGAGAACAAAAGTTGCTTAGAATTTCACAGGAATTATTATGGTGCAATTTTTTCTCCAAAATTCTCAGCCAAAATTTTACCCCAAAAATGGGTCATTTTGGTTTTTTTCAATTAATTAAAAATTACGCTGAAAGTACTTTGTTAATTGATGAGAAATATATATCACAAGAAGCCTCTTACACAGCCCAACAAAGTTCTAGAAAAGAGAATCTGTATAAGAGAAAATCTCTTTGCTTGATAGTCAAGAAAAGTGATTTTTACTATATAAAATCCAAAATCTTTGCTTAAAACAAATTTTAAACAAATGAGTCAAATTTTTGGAGATTTATAGCCTTCTAGAACTTTGTTGAGCTGTGAGAGGCTTCTTGTGATATATATTTCTCACCAATTAACAAAGTAGTTTCATCGTAATTCTTAATTCATTGAAAAAAGCCAAAATGACCCATTTTTGGGGTAACCTTTTGGTTGAAAATTTTGGAGGAAAAAATGCACCAAATTAATTCTGGTGAAATTTTAAGCAACTTTTGTTCTCTTCGTTTTTTGTCTAATCTTAACCCAATTTGAGAAAAATGCGTTTGAAACTTCTATATTCTATTTAAGTCCTGTTCAATGGCATGAGGCCTTAGTGAGGGGTCAAAATATTTGTAGTTTTGCTCTAATTCAAGCAGCCTTGTAAATAGTTTACGGTTGAGAGTAAACACTTAACATTTTTCAAATGGTTGGAACAGAACTTACTCAACCGAATTTGAAAAAATAACCTCAACATTCACCAGAAAACTTTAAAGTTCAGCTTTAGCTCAGATATGTTTTTAAACTTCAGCTCAGATGTTTCTTCTAATAAATGTTAAAGTATTTGTTTTAAGTTCGGTTTAGCGAGTTTTTGTTCCGACCATTTGAAAAAGGTTGAGCGTGTATACGAAACACTGTAATTGTTAAAAATAAGTTTTCATTAATTCGGTTTAGAACAATTTCTTCGCCGTGACGAGACGTTCGAGAGAAATTGGAACATCTGTAGTTCTGCCATGATTCGAGCAGCCTTAAAGAGTTTGCGGTGTAGCGTATCTGAAACACGTTTAAGCATATACGAAACACGTATCTGAGCTGAAGATTAAAGTCTTTTGGTAAATGTTGAAGTTAATTCTGGTAAATGTTGAAACGATTTTTTATTTTAGTAAGCTTAGTAAAATTTTGTTCCGACCATTTGAATAATTTGGAGGAGCTTTTTATTCGGGCGTAGTTTAGTTGTTTTTTTTTGTTTTTCGCGCAATTTTTTATATGTTCTGATTTGAAATTTTGATTTGTTCTTATTTCGAGCTAATAAAATTTGTCAAAATGAAATGCGGTTGGCAGGCTTACAATATCTTAATTGAGTTTAAATTAAGCCGTGAAAACCCAGTGTTATTTGGGAAAACTTAGTTTTTCGAAATTTGTAGCGCTATTTTCGGAATTAGAAAAATTTAAAAAAGTCAATTTTCTGCAAAAAAAAATAGAAAATTATGTAAATTAATATATGTACGATATTTTTCGTGTTTCTAGCCTTTTTTTTTCTTGAATTGTTTTCAAAGTGGCTTGTTTGACTGCTGTCAAAAATGCCTCATTTCTTTTTTTTTTGTTCAGATCTTACAATCGCACCACACGGAAAAAACCCTAATTTGAAAAAAAAAAATGTATTTCTTAAGACAATGATGGGAACATTCTCTGCTATTTGCACAGTAAGAGCCTATATTTGTTATCCTGTGTTGTATCCGTTTTTTTCTTTGTTTTGACTGCCTTCAAACGTCCCGACTCGATGAATGTGCTTTAAACTGAGCAAAAATTTAGGTTTCCAACTTAATTTCGTTCTTACAAA